GCAACAATGAATGAATGGAATTCCAAAATCTCTGTAGATGTTCATTGAAATGAAAAATAAACAAACTAAATTAAAAAAAAGAAGGGATTACAAGTAATGTAAAAAAAAAAAAGTACTCATGCATAAGGACAAATACTGCATAAGACCATTATTGTAGAGTGTATGAGGATCCAAGGGGGAGAAGAAGGGTGAGGATGGGGGGCTGGAGAGGGGTGGTTAATCATAGGGTTGCACAATCTGATGAGTGGAGGAAAGGGTGGGCAAAGGAAATGTGAAAGACCCGGTGTGAAAAAACAATGTCTATGAACTTTGTAAGTAAGCGAATATAAAATAAAAATGTTATTTAAATTTAAAAAAAAAAAAAAGAACCTTAGGGACTGGAAAGCCTTATGTTGAGTTAGCTAAGTCCCATAAGGACAAATACTGTATGAAACTATTATTGTAGAATGAGTATGAGGATCCAAGGCGGGGGGCAGGGCAAGGGGTGGAAATAAAGGGGTGAGGATGCGGGATAGGGTGTTAATCATAGGGTTGCACAATTCGATGAGTGGGTGAAGGAAATGGGAAGGATCTTTTGTGAAAAACAACGTATTTTAACTTTGTAAAAGGATATCTATCTCTATCTCTATCTCTATCTCTATCTCTATCTCTATCTCTATCTCTATCTATCTCTATCTCTATCTCCTGAGGGAGCTCTGGTGGCCTAGTGGCAAAAAATTGTGCTGCAATCCCGAAGCACGTGGTTCGAATCTACCAGGTGCTCCGCTGGAGAAGGAGGGGCAATCTTTTCCTGTGCCATTTGGATATGACTGGACAGCACACAACAAGGGGGAGGGGGAGGAAGTAAAAAGAAATAAAATAAAAATAACCCTCAGAAGTAAATAAAAATACCCCGTCCTATAATTTTAGATAAGAACCCCTTGCCAGATATGCCAATCTAACTTCTCTGTAAATGCTCATGAAAATAAATCACAATTAAAATTAAATTTTATTAAAGCATAACTTCCACTAAGATAGCATAAATGTTGAAAGCAGCAGCTGATATGCAAACTAATTGTTTTGAACTCACGTTCCTGAAACTCAAGACTAACATTATCCAATAAGTCCCCTGGACACAGTTGGCAATAAGACATTCTTGGCGACCAGTCCCTGGATCTGGTGTGTCTCTAACTATTTTAAGTACATTATCTAATCTGGCCTCCCGATGATCACTCAGCAAACACCTGCCTGGCAGCGTTTCTGGGACTGGATCTTACCGGATTTGATGCCTCACTGCAGCGTCAAACTGCAGGAACAGAACCTCCCTGCGGAGGAGGAGTGCCTGCGCCACCTGGCTGGGGTCTTGGGGATTCGGCAGGCTGTCAATCATTTTCTGCAACTCTTCAAGTTCAGATCCTAAAAACAGACATTTTAGTTTGAAATACAAGCCACTATCATTAACCCAGAGAACCCTCGATTCCACTTTTCTGGGTCAACTTTCACCTGAATAGGCATCCCTTCCTTTGTTTGTAGGTGTGCCAATTAAGTTTTTGCAAGATAAGCAGAGCCTTATGCTCTAGAACCCAAGGTCTGATTTCTCTTTCCTTCCTTCCTTCCTTTGTCCTTCTAGGAGATAAAAACTTGCTTTGCTTTTCAACACGACAAAGACTATGCCATGGAAAGGAAGTTTTAAAAGTCACAAGGCTAAGGCTTCTTTGGATATGTTGTCAAGAGGAGTCAGCCCTTGGAAAAAGACTCAATGCTTGGAAAGATGGAGGGTCAGAGAGAGAAAGACTTTCAAGAAGAAGGATTGATACAGAGAGTGGAATAATGGGCTCAGCTATACCTGAGATCATGAGGCTGGAGCAGGATAGGGCAAGGTGCAGATCTGATGTTCATAGGGTTGCTATGAGTCAGAACTGACTTGATAGCACATAACAACATGGTCTCTAAACAGAACGTGAAGGCCGATGGGAAACAGAGGACTTGGTGCATCCACTGGGGACTTGAAATGATTACAGATTATAAACCAGCACTTGTTTCCCATTTCCACACTATCCAAATCAGCCGCTTCTCTGTGTCATTGTTCCCGGGTTAAAGATTGAAGGCCATGATTAAAGCAAGCAGACACACCCACACATACACACGCATGCATATATTTTTTTAAATTTTTATTATTTTTGTGTGAGTGTACCGTCAAATCAGATCTGACTGGTACAGGAGGAGATTGTCCCTCCTTCCCCATCAGAGCATCTGGTGGATTCAAACCGTGTGCCTCTGGAATTGTAGTTGCAGCTCCTTGCCACTAGACCACCAGAGCTCCCCTCGCACACATACTTTTATGTATATTTACACATACTTGTCCTTTTAGGAAATTCTTGTCATTTTAGGAGTGGGTGTGGGGGATCCCTATTTAGCTTATTTCTAAGAATGAAGAGTTGTTGTTGTTATTGTTAGGTGCCGTCTAGTCAAGTACAATTCCTAACGACCCTATGAACAAAAGATCTGAGTGCTGTTCTGTCCTGTGCCATCCTCACACTTCCTGACACACAAGAGCCCATTGTAGCAGTCACCGTGTTAATCCACCTGGTTGAGGGTCTTCCTCTCCTTCACCGAACCTCTACCCTTCCTAGCTTCATGTCCTTCTCCAAGGAATAGAACTTTCTAGTAACATGTCCAAAGTATGTAAGGTGAACCTCATCGTTCTTGTCTCCAAAGAGCACTCTGGCTGCACCCACTCCAAGACATCTCTGTTCGCCATCCATGGGATGTTCAGTGCTCTTCTTCATTCAATATCATAGATCAAAGGCATCTATTCTTTTTCTGTCATCTTTATTCATTGTCCAGGTCTTGAATGCATAGCTAGTAATTGGAAAGACCATGGCCTGAATCAGCAAACCTTAGTCTTCAAACTGACATCACTACTCCTCAATAATTTGGAAAGGTCCCTAACTGCAGATTTTCCCAGTGCAATGTGTCTCCTTATTTCCTGAATGCTTGTACCAAGAGTGTTAATTGTGGATTGAAGTAAGATGAAGCTGTTGGCAGTTTTGGTCTCCTCTCCACTCATCATGATGCTGCATATTGGTCCAGTGGTAAGAATCCTTGTTTTCCTGACATTGAGATACAATTTATACAGAAGGCTGCATTCTTTGATCTTCTGTAACAAGCACTTTCAGTTTTCCTTGCTCTCAGCAAGCAAGGTTGTGTCATCTGCATAATGCAGCCTATTGATGAGTCTACCTCCCATCCTGACTCCACAGTCAGTGAAGAATGAAGAGTAGTTAGGTATAAATAGATTTACACATATTCTGTTTTTAAAGGAATTATTACAAGGTCTGATTACTTGCTATGCATCAGAAAGCGGAACAATGACTAGGGATGACAGAAAGAGAATTGATGCCTTTGAGCTGTGGTGTTGGGACTGCCAGAAGAACAAACGGGTTCATCCTAGAGAGGGTGAACTAGGTTGCTCCTTGGAGGCAAGCATATGCCTCGTCTGACATACTTTGGGCATAATGCAGGGAGGAACCAGTCCTTGGAAAGGGACATCATGCTTGGAAGGGACAGTGCAGGAGGGGAAGACCCTTAATAAGATGGAGTGATTCAGTGACTGGGGTAATAAGGGTACGTGTGTCAGAGACATTAATGTTGGCCCAGGAAAGAGCAGGTTTCAGGACTGTTGTACATAGAGTCACTATGAGTTACAAGTGACTTGACAGCACATAACAACAACAACAACAATCAAAATCTAATCTATTTATTAATTTTTTTTTACTCCACTCTTCCTCTCTTTTCATCCCTATTAACCTTCCAAGATTGATTCTGTGCGTAAACCTTCCCTCAGTGTTTTATAATAGTGGCCTATGTCACTATTGTCCTTTTGTGACAGACTTACACCATGCAGTGTCATTTGCTCTAGATTCATCTGGTACAGAATTCTATGAACATCAGGTAGTTTCTTCACTCTCTCATTCATTGTCATCGAGTTGGAACTGACTCATAGCTGACACTCCAGTAGGTTTTAGGAAGCTGTAAATTGCAAAGTAGATTACCCTTCTTTCTCTGGAGGCTCCAGTGGAAGATTTGAACCACCAGAGAAGCATCTCCTTTGGGTTGGCAGCACAACTCCCTATGGACTTCATGACCAAAGTCCTCTGATAATTCTTCAGTGATGCATAATATTCCATTGTGTGAAGATAATTCAACTTGATGAAGCCTATATAACTATCAGCACAAACATAATTGGTTCTAATCATTGAAGTTATTAAGGGAGCTCTAAATGTCTTCTAAATATGATGGCTAGCCCCTTTCTTAGAGTGAAAGAAACCTCAATCAGTAATGGAGTCACATTAGATTGAACTGACCAAGAATTTGCATGAGTGGACAGGAGGAAAATGTGGTCAGTGGGTGCAATTTGTTTAATACCTGATGGATTTGGTCTATAAGTAACCCTCTGTGTTAACCCAAGAAGCAACCAGGAGGAATTGCAACCCTCAGTAAAGACTGTGAAGAAGGAAAATGTAAGTGTATGTGCCCTAGGGCTGGAATATACCGTCAAGTTGAAACTGACTCATCGCTGACCCTGCAGGTTTACATAGGAAGTACATTGCCAGGAATTGATTGCTCATATTTCTCCTGCAGAGCAGTTGGTGGATTTGATCCATATAGCTTTGGGGTTTCGTTGTTCTTAGGTACCATCAAGTATGACCCATAGCAACCCTATGAACAGCCGACCTGAACCCTACTCTGTGCCGTCCTCATCATTTTTACTTACAAGAGCCTTTTGCTGAAGTCACAGTGTCAACCCATCCAATTAGAGGTCTTTCTCTCCTTTACTGACTCTCCATCTTTCCAAGCATGATGTCCCTGTCCAAGGAATAGACTTGCCTAGTTACATGTCCAAAGTATGAAGGAAGAAATTTTGCCATCTTTGCCTCCAAGGAGCACTCTGGATACACTTTTCCAAGACATATCTGTTATTCTCTTGGAAGTTCATCTGATATTCAGTACTTTTCTCCAGCACCACAACTCAAAGACATCAATCTTTCTTCTGTCATCTGTATTCATTGTCCAGCTCTTTGATGAGTAGCAAGTGACTGAAAAGACCATGGCTAGAATCAGGCACACCTTAGTGTTCAAACTGACATAATTGTTCTTTATATTTGTGTTGGAACAAGGGCTGGAATGAAGTAGAAATAGTGAAGAGTTCTTTTGCTAGGGTGGTTATATTATAGATGACTCCTTCCTTTTCATTATTTTAAATGTAGTTTATATAGTATTGTTTGTGCAATTTTAAAAAAGCACATTTTTTTGGTCCACTCTCAAGTCATTGCCTAGCAAAATATAGACTGATGTGTGGCTATTACAGAGTTAATTGGTCTCCTCAATAAATGTTATGTCCTAACTATAGTAATCTTCATTTGGATTAGGGTCTTTGAGATGATAACATGAGGCCATGGAGGAGGGTGAGTCCTAGTTCAAGCTGACTGTTGTCATTGTTAGGTACCGTCAACTCATAGCGATACTATGAACAGCTGACTTAAACCCTTCCTTCTCTTGTACCATCTTTATGAGCTCTGACATACAAGAGTGCGTTGCTGAAGTCACGGAGTTGATCCATGTCGTTGGGGGTCTTTCTCTCCTTCACTGACCCTTTCTCTTTCCTAGCATGTCTCTTTCCAAGGAATAGCCTCACCTAGTACATCTAACGTATGATTAAGCTTTGCCTCCAAGGAATACTCTGGCTGTACCTTTTCCAAGACATACATTTGTTCTTTTGGCAGTTCACAGAATATTCAGTACTCTTTTCCAGCACCACAATTCAAAGGCATACATTTTTCTTCCATCATCATTATTTATTGTCCAGCTCTCTAATGTGTAGCACATGATTGAGAAGAATATGGCCTGAATCAGGTGCACCTTAGTATTCAAACTGACATCACTGCATTGCTCTTCAGAGTTTTGGAGAGGTCCCTGATAGCAGGTTTGCCCAGTGTAACACATTTCCTGATTTCTTGACTGCTGGTATCAGAGTATTGATTATTGTTCCAAGCAAGATTAAATAAGCAACAGCTTTAATCCTTCATCTGGCATACTATTGATTGTGGGTCCTTTGGTGAGGACCTATGCTTTCTTGATGTTGAGATGGAATCCATACCAAAGACTGTAGTCCTTGTTCTTCTGCAGCAAGTGTTTCATATCCTCCTCACTTTCAGCAAAGCTGTGTCATCTGTATAATGCAGGTTGTTGATGATTAAGAGGGGACTGCTGTTTTTCTCTGATGAAGCAGCTAGTGGTTTCAAACCTCTGCTGTCACGTGCTTCTTCATACAGTCTGGCTTCTCAAATAATTTGCTTAGCATACGGATTAAGTAGGTATGGAGGACAGGACCTGGCTGACTAACTGAATGAGAT